CGCTAGAAAAACCCTGTGAGAAAAATCTAGTCGAGAAAAGAGTACATGATATATGGATAACCACGTGTTGCATTAGTTGCCTCATTAAAAACCTTACACTAAGAAAACCCAGTGGGAAAAAAACTTAGTTAAGGGAAAAACTAAAAAAGAGTACAACCATAACCTTTTAGGTTTAATTTTCAGGATTTGCAAGAGTTGTTGGTCTTCTGGACCGGTAATTTATGTGCACCAAGATGTTGTTGCTCCCCCTGAAGACAACAACCTTCCTAACCTACGCATATCGATTTTATAAACATATTTCTCAAAGGTAGAAGTAGGTAATGACTTAGTAAATAAATATGCTAGATTTTCAGTTGATTGAATCTTTTGAACTTGTATTTCACCATTCTTTTGGAGCTCACGTTGATAAAAGAACTTTGGTGCAATATGTTTGGTGAGATTACCTTTAACATATCCATTCCTCATTTGTGCAACACATGCTGCATTGTCCTCATAAAGGACAGTGGGGGTCTTTCTAATACTCATTATTCCACACGAGTCTTGAATATTATGTCTTAGTGACCTCAACCATACACATTCTTTTGAGGTCTCCTATAAAGCAATGATTTCAGAGTGGTTAGATGAGGTAGCTACTAGTGTCTGTTTAACTGATTTCCATGAGATAGTAGTACCTCCAGAAAGGAATACATATCTGGTCTAAGATCTAGCCTTATGCGGATTAGACATAAAACCAGCATCCGCATATCCCACTAATGTGGTGTCTTGATCTCTTTTAAATAGAAGCCCAAAATCCTTTGTACCTTGTAAATACTGAGGATATGTTTTATGCCATTCCAATGCATGTTTACTAAAAATGCAATATCCGGTTTAGTGCAGTTGGCAAGATATAGAAGTGCTCCAATGGCACTTAAGTAAGGGACTTTTGCTCCTAGAATATCCTCATTATCCTCTTTAGGTCTGTATGGGTCCTTACAACTTCAAGTTATCGGATACCATTGCAGTACTAAGTGGATGAGACTTATCTATGTACAATCTCTCCAATAATTTGTTTGTGTATTTGGATGGGTGTATGAATATCCCTTCAGGGAGGTGCTGGATCTGAAGGCCGAGACAAAACTTGGTTTTTCCCAAGTATTTCATTTTGAATTCCTCCTTTAAACATAAGCATGCCCTCTTGACATCCTTGAACGTTCCTATAATGTTTATATCATCTACATAGATGGATATAATACAAAAACCATCAGTTGATTTCTTTGTAAAGATGCAAGGACTGATATCTTTATTTTCATATCCTTGTTTTAAGAGAAATTCATTCAATCGATAAAACCGGCCACATTCTTCCTGATTGTTTTAAGCCATATAATGACTTTTGTAGTTTTCCGCTGACCATATTTCTATTTGTATTTCCTTTACATAAAGGATTTTGAATGACCTCGGGTACTTTCATATATATGTCAGCGTCTAGTGACTCATATAAATATACGGTCACAACATCCATTAACTGCATTTCTAGATTCATTTTTACTGCCAGCGATATTAGATAACGGAACGATGTGTCATCTAAGACAGGAGAGTTAGTTTGTTCAAATTCTATTCCGGGTCTTTGTGAGAAACCTTGAGCTACAAGTCTCGCTTTACATCTAACCACCTCATTCTATTCATTCCTCTTTCGTACAAATAACCATTTGGATCCTACTGGGATCACGCCTTTAGGGGGAAGTGCAGGAGGACTAAACACTTTTCTTTTATTTAGCGAGTTGAGCTTAGTCTGAATTCTTTCCATTTCAACCAATCAGAGCGCTTCCGGCACTCTACTATAGTTTTTGGTTCTGGATCCAGATTATTGAAAGAAATGTGAAGAGCAATTGTAGAGGCAAATTGGTCGTCGACGACTGTTATATTTCTATTGTAATTTTCTCCTGTTTCTATAAAATTTATGGCAGATTCTATATTTACATGCATCAACCAAGTCTTTCTCACTTGGTATTATACCTTGGTGAAGGTATTCCGTATTCCCAGTGTTTGATTTATCTGTAGCACATGCATTTACACTAGGCTTTTCGTCTTCAGGATGATTTTGGAGTAACTGTGATTGTTTATTATTTTTAGTTTTCCGCAGATTTAAATCTCTTGCACCAACTAGTCTTCCAAGCTTCTGGCGTTGGGTAATGTTGGTGTTAGTATTTGGTCCTTTGGGGACAAGTATTCTTGATGGAGCATTGTCTACAGGAATATAGGACCTAGTTACTCCTTTAAAATCAATAAACGCATCTGGCAAATTATTTGCTAGTTTTTGCAAATTTATTATTTTCTGAACTTCAAGTTCAATTTGATTAGTACGTGGGTTAAGATATTGAAAATCTTTTTCATCCTATGAAATTTCATGGCATTTTTTCAAAGCTGGGCTTTTTTCTCCCCCTAATACCAGGAAATGATCTTCATAAAAAATGCAGTCAGCAAACCGTGCAGTAAACTGATCTGCTATTTTGGGCTCAAGGTATTTATTGATAGATAGGAATTCATACCCAACGTAAATACCTAACCGACACTGCAGTCCCATCGAAGTACGATGTGGAGGTGGTGTATGTACGTAAATCGCACAGTCAAAGACACACAAATGAAAAATGTCTAGCTCATTACCACGTACAAGTTGTAGAGGGGAATAATCATGATATGCAGTTAGCCGGAGTTGTATCAGATCAGCAACATGCAACACTGCGTGTCCCCAACAAGTGACTGGTAGACTGGACTGTTGCAGTAATAGTCTAGCTATTAACTTAATTCTTTTGATAAGGGATTCAGCTAAACCATTCTAGGTGTGGACGTATGGTACAGGATGTTCCACCTTAATCCCCATGGCCATACAATAATCGTCAAAAGCTGACAAGGTGAATTCACCAGCATTATCCATTCTTACATTCTTAATAGGATAATCGGAAAATTGGGCATTCAACTTAATGATTTGGCTTATGAATTTTGCGAATGCCGTATTTCGAGTGGACAGCAGGCACATATGTGTCCATCGGGTGGAAGCATCAGTAAGGACCATGAAATATCGAAATGACTCGGATGAAGGATGAATTGGTCCACAAATATCACCCTGTACCCTTTGCAGGAAAACAGGTGACTCAAAACCAATCTTAGGACGCGAAAGTTTTTTCCTTTGCACAGGGAACACAAGTGTAATCTTTTGTAGAAAGAATGTTTGTCCTAAGAAGGTTATGCCCAGTCAAAGTAGAAAGTATCCGGCTTATCATAGTTTTCCCAGGGTGACTTTTAAACTTTACTACGAATGCAACGCAGGAGATTTGAGGCCTGATATAAGAATAATACAGGCTTGAAGAAAAGGAAGGAAGTTCTTCGATTTCCTTTTTCGTATTATTGACCGTTTGGGTCATTACAAGGAATTGAGTATTGTTTTTAGTTTTAGTTTCTATGTGGAAACCATTTGACCAAATATCCTTGAAACTAAGCAAAGTTCTTTTCGATTGACGGTATAGGAGTGCACTGTCGATAGCTAACGTTGTACCGTTAGGAAGAATAAGTGAAGCTCTACCGGAGCCCACAATAGAAATGTTATCATTTGCTATGGTTGATAGGTTGTCCTTTCTTTGAACGTTTGGAAAAATCTTCGATCAATCAAAACTGTGTGCGTGGTTGTACTATCGACCAAGCATAGAGTAGAAACTAAATGAGTAATTAACAGGATGTAAAGGAGGAATGAAATGATATTTTATTCATAGGAAATATTTATTTAAAACTAGAATATTCGTTCAAGATGCACGCAAGCACGGAAAAGTATGAAAGAGATTGTTGAGGGCAATCCACGATTATTACATCAAAAAATAGAATAGAGAGAAAATAGATCATTCTTGATCTCTAAATTCTTCAAGCTCATACTTCAAGCGGTCATAATTGTCAGCATCAACAAGTGCGTTTGTTTCTGGCAACGCAACATGGTGGGACTCATCTTTAGCTTCTCTTTGTCCCTCTTCATCATTCGCTGATATGCCTCAACCAAGTGCTTCGGGGGTGCGACACGTATGGGACCAGTGGCCTTTGCACCCACATCTATAGCAGACTTGCTGCTGCCCAGAATGATTGTTGGATGAGCTTGGTTGTCCTTGATTATTCGGCTGCCTTTGCTGGTTGCGAGAGTTATGATTCTTGTTGCCTCCATTTCTTCCTCCACGACTTAGACCCCTTCCGCGACCTCTTCCCCGTCCTCAAACTCGGCTCCCCCTAGTGTTGCTCGACTAGGCAACATGGTGTGCTTCATGCACGGGTGCAGAATCGAAAAAAATTGATCTATGAATTTCATCAATATTATTAACAAGAGATGCATATATAAGTTACCAGAAAATCAGATATATTCATAGTGTCAAAATATACTATTCACGCATATATGTATACTACCAGTAAAAGATAATCATATGCCAAAATTCACATATTCACAGATGTATAAAACATATATGCGATTTTAGGCATAAAAAAACTTATAAAATTACCGTTTACCAGGGTAATATCGAGCATGCAGAAAACGTGTTGGGTTGCAGGTGTTTGTAGGCCTTAGTTCGTGAAGAACAACCAAAATAAGAACACGAAGAAGAAGATTAAAAAAAAAAAAAAAAAACAGAGGAATGTATATTTCTTATTTCATCATCACCTTTTGTACAGGATTATAATGATATATATAATCTACATTTAATAGCTATTACAAATCATTCCATAAATATCAAGTTATTACAAATCATGTTGTTAATGTCATAATAATGTCCATAATAAGATTTTACAACACAGATGATCATCAAATTAAATCTTATTAATCAAAGAACGAATAGTATTTACATTACATACATTTTCACTTTTTTTTTTTTTTAACATTTTCACTTTGTTTGTTTTTGTTTGTTTTTTTTTTACATTTTCACTTTTTTGAGTCTTTTTTTTTTTTTTTTTTTTTCTAGCCCTTAAGTCCCTTTTTGATCTTTGTCAGCAAAGAAAAAGGTGTCTAATCTTTCTATACTGGAGCTGATGCTGTTGTTTTAGATTGCTCCATCTTAATTACTCTCTTCGCCGTGGCTCTCAGGGGACAATTGGAACTTACGAAATTGTTGATCAAATGTAGATACGTCTTCAGATCGTGACACGTGGCCACATTTCCGCTGCCGTTGATCTCAGGGCAATCCTTACTGCTAAGTCTCAGTTCTTTGCCTACCTCAGCATATGCATATCGGGTGTCCTCCACCCATTTTCGGAGCCACCTTGGCATTCCCGCACCGCTGACCGCCACATCATCAAACACGAATCCCGGAACTTTCGTGACGGGGTCGTCGGAGTTGACTATTCGCAGAATCTTCGTGCCATTGGCTTCTAGTTGAGATCGGAAGTGGTGGTTCCCAACTCTCGGCCCTCCGAAGGAGACAACCGTCACTGGTGGCGCGTGACGAAACTGTGTAGTGATATCGTATGCAGTTAGGATGGCTAAAGCCGCTCCAAGGCTATGCCCTGTGATTGTAATACTTAGAGGCTCCTTATCATTACTAAACATTTCAAGAATTTTGTGCATCTCTTCTTGTATTGAATCTCGTAAACTTTGACAACATTCGTAGCTTGATGTGTACAAACTCAATAGTCCGCTTTGTACCATTAGTGGGCCGGTACAATCAGCCGGAGCCATATCATCGGGCAAACAAGTCAACGTGGCACGCAAGTTCTCCAGCCACTCAGACAACGTGGCGGTTCCCCGGTAAGCAATCACCACGTTGCGACACCCGAGCCGGGAGATTTCCTCCACGTCATCACAAACGGCCACATACCCAATCCAGCTAGACCTAGGGGACACCAAATTGGGCACCCTCTTCATCCAACGTGGAATGCAAATCGCTGACGTGGCGTATAGATTCCTCGCAACCTTGTACCCGCTCTTGCCGAGCCCGCATCGAGCCAGCATCGAGTCCTCCTCGTATCGGCACGTGGCGTACCCCGGAGACGCCACGTCGAAGTCGAAGCTTCGATACGCCGCCTCCACAAAGTGGCCGTAGCTTAGGATATGCAGTCGGAGGTGGTCATCAAGTGGGTCTAGTAAACCTTCCCAATCCTTGATGCCTTGATATTCCATCCACTTGTTGCATATACCCACAATGCCCTTCTCTTTGTTATAAGAATTGGCTAAGCTTGTGGCAATCTTGAGGGTCGAAGTGCTAATTTTCAGATCTAAGAGCGGCTGGGAAGTAGTGGTGCAACGATTTGTGACCATCAGTGTGTTATAAGGCCTTAGAGTTGCGGTGGGGAGGCTCATTATATATTTTAATATTTATCTCGGGTTGTGACGTTGGTACAAGGATTTTGGACCATATATATATACACACACATACATGCATGCATATGGATATGTGTATGTATAGATGCATGTATGTATTCATTTATTAGTTTACTCAGACGGCTATATATATATATATAGGTTCTGGTGCGGTTAGGGTGCCCATGTGCGGTTTAATCTGGGTCATTCATCTCGCTTAAATCAACGTTCAGGATTGTCAAAATTTAAAAAAAAAACGCGGTGGCAATTTTGTAATTTTTGCATCTAGGTCAAATTAAGGTAAGCGGATCTGTGATTAATGTGCGTGAGTTTTGTATATAAGATGTTAGAGGTTTGTGCGTAAGGTGCGTGAGTTTTGTGCTTAATGTGTGTTAAGTTGTGCTTAACGTGAGTAGTTGTTAAAATTTAAAGTGTGGACTTTTGTGCTTAAGGTGCGTGAGATTTGTTCTTAATGTGAGTGGAGTTTGTGCTTAATGTGCTTAGGGTTTGTGCTTAATGTGTGTGAGGTTAGTGATTAATGTAGTAGTTGTTTGAAACTTAAGGTCAATGAGTTAATACTTAAAGTGCGTGGGTTTTGTACTTAATGTGCGTGAGGTTGTGCTTAATGTGCGTGGGTTTTGTACTTAATGTGCGTGAATTTGTGCTTAATATTAGTAGTTGTTGAAACTTAAACTCTGTGAGTTAATATTTAAAGTGCGTGGGTTTTGTGCTTAATGTGCGTGAGGATTTGCTTAATGTGTGTGGGTTTTGTATTTAATGTGCGTGAGTTTGTGCTTAAGATCTAACACTTAAAGTGCGTGTTTCTATCACTTAAGGTGCGTCATTTTTAGCTTATGCTTCTTTCTTCCAGACATGCACGCGTTTTTTTTTTTTTTTTTTTTTTTTTAAATTTTCATTGATTTGAGCTATTGATCTAAATTTGATCAACGGCTCAGATCTAACCGCACAACCGCACGGGAAGCTATACCCGTACCTGAACCCTTCCCTATATATATATATAATAAGTCTCAATCAAAGTTATATCCCTCATTTTTGTCCATGTTTTTAATGCTAACCATTTTATACGTTCTGAATTGAGTGGGAGGGACTCATCTATCCATCTAAGTTATAGTTAGTACAGAAGACACAACGTTATTTTCTTATAGACCTCCATCACATTTTCGAGATTGGAGAGGTAGGGTGGTGTAGTTGGCCCTTTCAACAATTTCCCCTCCCTGGCTGGACCCGTGATCTAGCTATCATATATATCACTTGTTAGCTAGGATCAAACGCTTACCACTATGTCAAAAGCTATAGCTAGTAGCGTATGCGCGACTTTATTTTCTTATAGATCGTCATCACATTTTTGAGATGTAAGATTTTGGACTTGGTCCATCACGGGCCTCCGCCTAACAATCCTATAGACACCAATTGATGGAATTGTATCTTTACTGACCTCTGCCCAACGTTTCAATTTAGTTAGTTAAGAGATTAGTTATTGTGTTGGGCGATAGAAATTCTGATTTACACCTTAGGGATGGACATAGACAGTGGCTTTCAGGCATTGGGGGAATTGGGATGTCTTTGGTTTCTTGGATGGATGTCATACAGTATACGTGAAGGATTCGTGGGGACAAAAGTGTTAGCAACTTAAAAACGTTGGCGGATATATTTGATTATTTGAAGTTGTGGCGTTGATCTAGTGCGTTTACTTTCTGGTGGGCTACCTTTCAGTTTTCTTTGCCACTATCTATTTTATAATTAACTTAGATTAACTTACAAGCAATAACTACTGGTTGCTCTCCCAAAATGAATGTCAAATTTTCAAATTTCAGTAGGGATATTGACTTTTTATGCTTCTGTAGGTTGAAAAAGTATGTATAAACAGATATTATAGTGTAACAGAGTTAATATTACTAAAAAAAAAAAAAAAAAAAAAAAAACCTTACAAGCAATACATGCATGCATCCTCCTTACATATGTGTGTCTGTGTCAACACGGTTATTGAAACACTATATTGAATACATCCTTGCAAACATACCATTTCGATCATAACTTCTATTAATACATTATTTATAATTTTCTTAGTAAAACTTTTATAATATATAATGTATTTTTATTCAATGCATTGTGTATATAATTGTATCCATGTAAAGTAATTGGTCACCGAGTTAGTGGAGGTTTAATTTTTGCACCATTATTATCAACTAGTAATTCACCCGCGCGATGCACGGGGAAAAAATTATGTTATTATAAATATAAATAAAAAAATAAGAAAAATAAAAATATTTTAAATTATTTAATATAATAATATTTTTGAGCTTCCATTGGTCAAGTATTTATTATCTTTATAGAATACAAAATTATAATTAAAATTTTGTATGGTTAATATAATCTCTAATTATGTACATATTCAAATAAACTTATAGAGAGAATTTACATAATTACATTGATTTATTCTTAATTGTATTTCATCTATATTATAATTTTCACAATACTAATAATAACTAAGATAATTACATTTAGAAAGCAAATTTTAAATTTTGTATGAGTAAATTTAAACTTTAATTGAACACAAATTTTTTTTATATGATTATATAATATATTCTTTATGCACATGGCATTCCATAAACTCAAATGTCATTTTATAAGTCCAAGACCACTTTTTGTGGAGATAATTCAAATGTATTTTTTTTCTTTTAAAAGTCATAAGTTTAGACATCTAGAAAAACATTAAAGACCTATACGATATATACATTTATATATATTTAATTTTTTATTTATGGCTTAAATGTTTTTTTTTTTTTTTAATTCTGAAGTCCAATAATTGACCCACGGCCCGCAACATTTGCTTTCTTCATTCCTTCTCGCTTCTGCCATTTCTTTGAAGCATTTGAGATGGAGAAAAATTATATGTAGAGGCTTACATTAATTGCACTGTTTCAGATATTGAATAAGCTTTCATAAAAAATTTAATTAATATTGTAATCCCAAGAACCATCATAAATAACAAAAGCATATCAAATAGACTTTCATTGTAAAGTCAGAGATTTAACTAATATTGCATCGTTTCATATTTTATATTAATCGGGAATCTGAATCCTTAATCCTAATATCATAACATTTAATAACTCTATTAATTCAATAAATGTAATCCTTTGTTATGGGCGAGAAAAAAAATTAGCTATTTTATTTTTCAAATGTTGTGCTTCTTTTTTTTTTTTTTTTTTTTTTTTTTTCATTTATTATAGTAAAAGGTGTTGTGGCTATCTTATATTTATAGCTAGTAATAATAATAATAATGTTGGTAATTAATTGTAACATTAATTATTTCCCAACCATATAGCTTCATTATATGTAAGATAATAAGCTTCTTCAACACTTGTATAACCATATATAGTAATTGTTGCAAATAAATGTTCAATGATTTCATAAAATTCTACTTCTTCAAATTCTTCATCTATTTGTTCTTCCTCCCCACCAACCTTCTCAACTTCATTATTGTTGTCCAGACTAGAGTTGGACATTATATGTCAATTGCCTAATGGTAGTAAATAGTGCCTACACACAAAACTATTTATATGAAACAATGCAAATGGATTTAAAAAAAAAAAAAAAAGAATTTCTAGTAAAAAAAAAAATCAAATACATAATCATCAAACTTATTCTTTAAAATATACTTTAAAAATATCATTAATGTATATAACAAAATTTATGAAACTAATAACAATAATACTAATACGGATAATGATACTATATATGAACTCTCATTTGGACAATTTGAACATTATCTGATCATAGCAATCTTGTGGTGACATATTTAGAAACATATCATATATATCCTTCGTTGCTTTCGTGTTCAACCATTCTATATATAGTCGTGAAACAATTATCACTAACCAAGTTCAGGAATTTCGTAATAGCAACCCAATAGCCATTTTATTCCCTTTTGTGCACCAAAGTATGGATATCAACAACAATTGAATCAAGAGTATTAGATTATTTCTCTAACACATTAGATCGATTTGTTTGCTCAAGTGACATACTATTCAATTCCTTTCATATTCGGTCCTACTTCTTCTTCTTCTTCTTCTTTTTTTCCTGATAAAATATATTGTGAGAATGGTGGATCTGGAGAATCTACCGGTACACTATAACTGATCGGTCGCCTTAAAAATTCTTGCTATGGATTTTAGATATATATGAACATAAAAATCAAAAGTACAAGAGTAATTATGAAAGTTATGAAACGTACCGCAAAATTTGACAAAAATAGATGAAATTTTTTTTCTTGTTGAGTTAGAGAAAAAAATTCTAGAGAAAGTTGAAAAGTTTGGGGTTAGAGGGTTGGACTTCAACTATTTATATTTTTGAAGAAAATGTCTATAGAAATCTAATATGATAGAGTCGAATAAGTTTTTGAATACCACTTGACTTTTAGAGGGCGTTGGGTAGTTTCCTATAAATTAAATTCCCAGGAAAACATTTTTAAGGAATATATGTATTTGATGGGGAATTGGGATAAGTTTACAAGGATAATTAATTAAAATGTTTGGAGTTATTGGAAACATAAGAATTAAATTACTTAGAAAAATAAGATGTTTGGGTGGTTTAAACTTTTGTATGATTTTTTTTTTTTTTTAAAATCTCTAATATATCATTGTTATATACAACCACTAAAAAGAAAAAAACATAACAAATAATTGAGGATTTAATAAATCACTTATAAATTAATAAATAATATGCCAAAAGATTCTTGTATGCAACAAAAATTTTCAAAATTCAAAACAGTACTTATGTCAAAAACGTGTTGAGAGAAATAAAATTTGTCAATATATAGTGTTTTTATCCTTTGTCATAGTGAGAGACAAATTTCTTATATTTATAAGAGACTTTTAACTTGAGCCAAAAATAATAAATACGTAATTGAATATATTTGG